AGAGCTCAGAGAATACTTTACCTTTAAAAAAAATTAAACGTCATAGGGAGACACAGCAAGACAGAGATAGACAGACAGAAATGGAGAGAAAGAGACACGGAGCTATTTCTACCCACTAAAATGAGTCTGGAGGGGGAAGAAGAAGTTGTCCCAACCTGGGGGGACAGTCGAACAGGAAGGAGTGAGAGCTGGGACAAGCTACGCAATGTTACAACACAGAGACGACACAGTGTCTTCAGGGTCGTCCGTTTATTGTGGGCAGCACGGTACAGCACAGAGATGACGTGGTGTCACAACTCTTCAGTGTTGTCTGGAGATGATGCAGTGTTAGAACTCTTCAGGGTCTTCTGGAGACGATGCAGTGTTAGAACTCTTCAGGGTCTTCTGGAGACGATGCAGTGTTACAACTCTTCAGGGTCTTCCAGGTCGTCTGTGTTGTCTTCCTGGTCGTCTGGTGATTGTGGGCCAGGCATCATGGTTATATACATGCTGGTGGGCCGTGATTGGTTGTAAAAGGTGGGTTATGATTGGTTGTAAAAGATGGGTTATGATTGGTTGCTTTTGGACCAATCATGAGGTGCTGGATATGCAAATCTGAAGGATTCTAGTGGCCAATCAGAGCATGGTTTCAAAGGTGAGGTTTTTGAAGGGAACCAATTGTGGCCTTTAGCATTGTGTAATTGTTTGCTTTCTGAGAAACCCGCGATATTCGCTGGTGCGCAGCCTCCCACAAGAAGTCTCAGCAGAAAATATTTATTTTTGGTCAAGGAAACCAATATTTCACAGCTGAAGTACTATATCCATATCAGGATCTCTTTCATTGATTTTTGGATTTCAGGATTGCAACTGGTAGATTATGGACCATATTTCACTGTGCAATTGTACCATAAAATATTTATCAATTCTAATGTTGATGGACATTTGGGTTTGTTGTCAAATTTTTGCTTTTAAAAAAATTATTGTGTCAAGTGGAACACTTCCTTTCTCATAAAAATGCATAAATGACATTTGAATAGATGTGATCTTACCTTTTCTATTTTTTATTTCCTTAAAAAACAAAACAAAACAAAACAAAAAACAACTCATGGGAACCAGCAGGTGGCATAGTGGTTGAGGAGTTGGACTCCCATGTGGTTGACTGTGGTTTGTGTCTTGGATCCAGTGACTTGAAAATCATGCTAGGTGTGTGTGCATGTGTGCCCAACATCCTAGGAGGAGAATGGAGGAGAAGGGTGGCCATCCCCCTGGGGGGTGAATTCTTGCTTTCTGTCTCTCTGTATCTCTGGCAGGTACATGTTCCCTATATCAAAAATCTCTCAAAAAACAAACAAAATAAAACTCGTAAGTTGGAGGAACATTTTGAGGCCATTGTCTTCTAAACAGGACACCTTCACAATAATAATTGTTTATTATTACTGCATTCTTTTAGAAGTTTTTAGTGATACCTCGAGATTTATTATTTTAGAATAAATGGCTAGAAAATCAGTATTTTGTTCCCTATTTCTCTTTTATAAAGTTATCATTTTAATAGGTAAGAGAGCAAAATCATAATAAATTAAGGAACTTTTTTTTTCCACTTTGAACTTTTGCTATAAGCATTCTTGTATGATTTCTTGGTATACTTGCTTGAGTTTCTCTACAGTATGTACCAAGAAGTAAAACTGTCCTTTGGGTAATTGAATAGTGCATTAGTTTGGGTCTTTAGAGAAGCATATTCCAAGATGAGATTAAATATATGTATTTGTCATGTTTCCTAAAGAAACAAGACCAACAGGATCTAAATACACACACCCACGCACACAAATATGCATGCACACACAGAAAGAAGAATTATGATGGATTAGATAACATAATTTTGGAGGTTGAGAAGTTCCGTGAATTAAAAAAACTTAATTAATTAATTAATTGTTTTTAAAGAATTATTTTATTTAACTCTATTTGTTTGTTTTAATTTGACAGAGAGGGACAGAGTGAGAGAGAGAGAGAAAGTGAGAAAGCAGGCTGCCAGGTCTGGGACTTGAACCACAGCTGGCCATGTGGAAATCTAGCACCCTTTACCATCACACCACCTGCCAACACCCCAAACATTATTTATTATTATTATTATTATTATTATTTTAAATTTGCTGTAGAGCATGCACACTCACCAGAAAGATAGAGAGAGAGAGAAGGAAAGTAAGAAAGCAAGCCACCAGGTCTAGGACTTGAACCATGGTTGGCCATGTGAGAGTTCAGCACCTCAACCACCACGCTATCTGCTGTCCTTGTCCCCCACCATTAAGGTTTTTGCTATAGAGTGCATGTGCTCACCAGAAAGGAGAGAAACAGAGAGAGACAGTGAGAAGGAAAGCGAGAAATCACAACCCAATGAGGATGGCTATACTGCAGTCCCTTTTCCTCTATTCTCCTCCTGGGATTTTGGGCATGTGTTCACACATGCCCAGCATGAGTTTCAAACCACCAGGTCCAGGACTCAAACCACAGTCTACCATATGAGAGTCCAGAACCTTAATCGCCATGCCACTTGCTGGCCCCTCACCTAACTTTTCTTTAGCATCTTCTTTTTTTTTCTTTTTTTGGAGAAATTTTTGCTATAGGGCGCGTGTGCTCGCCAGACAGACAGAGAGAGACAGAGAGACAGAAAGCGAGAAATCACCCCCCAGGGGGGATGGCCACACCACAATTCCTTCTCCTCCATTCTCCTCTTGGGATCTTGGGCACGCACGCACACGCGCCCGGCATGAGTTTAAGCCACCGGGTCCGGGACTTGAACCGTGGTCAACTATGTGTGAGTCCAGTGACATAGCCATTATGCTAACTTCTGGTCCCCTTTACCATCTTCTTTACATTCTTTAGCTATAGTTTGTATTTTAGAAATCTGAAGTGTTGGACAGTGCTCTCCATAGAGACTTTGATAGTGACATTATTTGAATTATTGGCAATAAATATGAAATAAAGGGTAGGAATAGAGAAAGATTGGTGAGTATGACATTATAACGATTTGGAGGAGAATGGTGACTTCATTATTTTTTCTGTGTGTGTGTGTGTGTGTGTGTGTGTGTTTTCTATAGGGTGTGTGCGCTCACCAGAAAGACAGAGAGAAATAGAGAGAAAGTGAGAAATCACCCCCCAGGGGGGATGGCCACACCACAATTCCCTCTCCTCCATTCTCCTTTCAGGATCTTGGGCATGCATGCACACGTGCCCAACGTGAGTTTAAGCCACCGGGTCTGGGGCTCCAACCACGGTCGACTACATGAGAGTTCAGCAACACAGCCATTACGCCGACTGCTGGTCCTGAGTGGTGACTTCTTCATACCCACTAAAATTCCTAAGAAAATTGGCAATACAGTGACAAAGTCCTAGAGCGAGAATAATTATACTGAATTTCCAGAAACACACTTAACTGAGTGGAGGATATGACAGTATAACTATTTCCCTGTCCATTTCTAAAACTTGGAAGATTATTTGGAGAGGGACAGTAGAGACATATTTATATAGTATTATCAAAATGAGATGTGATGGGTTTGCTATATTCAAGAGACTGTTCTAAAGACCTAGTACATAATTAATGTATTTCTTAAATTTTTTTTTAAGTTTCATTTTCTTTTATACATTCAATCACATTATTTAGCTTACAAAATGAATATTCTGACAGGTGAACATTTCTCCCTAGTTCAGGTGATAAAACTATAAAATTATCTTCAACAGATAATACCACATTTCTTTGTCCCATTAATGCTTTGCCTCTCTATTTTTCTTCTAAATGTCCTTCCTCAGACTCTACTCTTTCACACACACTATATCTGGTATTCACATCAATTTACTGTGTTTCTATATCCTTTAGTTAATCAGTTTCAGGCATAGAGTGTGGACACACAGTATATATTAAGTAGGGACATACAATGTCTCTCCTTCATAGCCTTGCTTGCTTCACTCAGGGTAAACCTTCCATATTCTTCCACTTTCTGTCAAAAACCAGGTTTCTTTTTTTTTAATGGCTGAATAGTATTCCATAGAGTATATATGCCCTGGTTTTTCAATACATTCATCTGTTCATGGGCATTTGAGTTGGTTCCATGTCTTAGCAATTGTAAATAGCGCCGCAATAAACATCGATGTGCAAGCACTTTTCCAATTAAGAATTCTTCTGTCCTTTGGTTAAATACCAAGGAGTGGTATTTCTTAGAACATTTATTAGTGCCAGTAATCCTAACAGAATGCACTTTGTAAGGAACAGAAAGATTAATGTACTTTCCCAAGATCACAGAATTGGTAATAAGTGGCTCTGTGCTTTCAGCTCAAACAGTATACTACAGAACTAGGAAATCAAAACCCTGAGAAGTAAGCAAATTGCACAAAATCACTAACTCATAGATGTTGAAGCTTAAACTTTTTTTGAGGTAAAATATTATTCTATATTCATAATCTACAAAAGATGTGTGAAATAAGTACTTCAAAAGAGAGCAGATGAAGATACTGAGAAAGAAGAGAGAAGTTGGGAAATTATTTTATAATCTAAGATATTTATCATCATTACTAATTTAATTTCTTATGAAAACAGTATGACAAATTTTTATACAATAAGTTGATTTTTTTTTTTTTTGCGATAGGGAGTGTGTGCTTGCAAAAAAGAAAGAAGTGAGAAATCTCCCCCCAGGGGGATAGCTATGATGCAATCCCTTCTCTTCCATTCTCCTCTCAGGATTTTGGGCATGCAAGCACGTGGAACTGATGTGTTTATCAAGTTACTGTTCTGGATTTCAAACAGTGCAGTTGGCCATGTGGGATCTAGTGCCTTAACCTCCATACCACCTGTTGGCCCCACAAGCTGTTGAAAACCTTATTCTTTCTACCACAAGACTATAGCTACTTTTGGGGACAGAATCTGGGATTTATTTTGCTTTCTTCACAGGATTAAGCATAGTGCCTACAGATAGTAGGTATTGACATGATTTAATTGATACTTGAACTCCAAGAGTAACAAAATAGACATCTTCTATTCTGTCTTCCTAGTCAGTTTTCTCAAAATAGACATCTTCTATTCTGTCTTCCTAGTCAGTTTTCTCAAGGCGTGTTTCATGTCCTTGTTTCTAAGGCTATAGATGAAAGGATTGAGCATAGGGGTAACTACTGTATAGATAACGGTGACCACACGATCTTTTGTCACTGAGTAGGTAGATGAGGGCCGAATATACACAGATATTATAGTCCCATAGAATAATGCCACAACTGTGGGGGTGGGAACCGCAGGTGGAAAAGACCTTGTACCTGCCTCCCCCTGAAGGGACCCTCAGAACGGCATGGGTGATGTGGACATAAGAGACAATAATGAAGATAAAGGGACTCATGATCACAAAGGAACCCTCTGTGAAGGCCATAAGCTCATTGATGGAGGTGTCAGAGCAGGAGAGCCTTAGCAGTGGCTGGACGTCACAGAAGTGGTGGATGATGTTTGGCCCACAGAAAGAGAGGCGGGCCATGAGAATCGTGTGGGTGAGTGAATGAAGGTGGGACACCACCCAAGATGCTATCACCAGCAGGAGACAGTGCTTGGGGCTCATGGTTGTCGTATAATGCAGTGAGTTACAGATGGCCATGTAGTGGTCGATGGCCATGGCAGCCAGGAGGAAACTGTCAGTGATCCCAAAGGCCACAAAGAAGTACATCTGAGTGAGACACTGGGAAGAGAGGATGGTCTTTTTCTGAGTCAGCATGTTTACTAACATCCGTGGCACAATGACGGTGGTAAAGCAGATGTCCACCAGGGACAGGTTGAAGAGGAAGAAGTACATGGGAGTGTGGAGGCGCACATCTCCCTGGATGGCTGCCTTGATGGCTGAGTTGCCTATAACATTGACCAGGTACATGGCCAGGAAGCTGGCAAAGAGCCACACCTGCAGTTTGGGGTCAGTGGTCAGTCCTAGAAGGAGGAATTCAGTTGTGTGGCTCTGGTTTTCCTTGGGCATTGCTGTCCTGCAAGTAAAAATTATGAAGGTTTGTTAGAAGTATGTCCTGGCTTATAATCAAGCAAAAAAGCCGCTGTATAGCACATGTATTCTTTATATCTACCCCATGTAGGGACAAGATTGGCTTTGGAGAAAAGTGCAGAAGTGAAAATTTTACAAATTTATTTCTTATTAGCATTCTGTACCTATTGTGTGTGGCTGAAAAATACATGAAATCTAGACAAAGATGAGCAGAGCATAAAGGGGCTAGTGTAAGTGAAATGATTGAAAGGAGAAAGGAGATTGTGATTGTCATTGGCTGGACTGTAGATGCCAAGCTGGCGGGACACAAGAGAAACAACCTAGGGTAAGCTGGACTTTTCTGGGGAGAGAGGAAAGGGATTAAAGTCCTTAAGAATTTTCTGATCTTTAGGATAGTTCCTATAAGAGTGTGTATTAGTTTTCTTTGGCTGCTGTAACAAATTAAATTTGGTGGAAAAAACTGGATTTCTACCTGTAGAAAGATGAATCGAACCCCTACCTCTCACTTTTGACAAAAATCAAGTCAAGGTGGATCAAGGATCTAAATCCAAGACCCCAAACTATTAATCTACTTCTAGAAAATGCTGGGGAAACTCTAGGAGACATTGGGGTAGGGAAAAACTTCTTAAATAAGACCCCCAAAGCACAGTCAATAATCCCCAAAATAG